CAACGCTCGGTTCAACTCTCAACACAAATAAAACTCGATTTCGCTCAGTTTTTTTTTGGCTCGGCTCTAACAAGTCGGGATTGCCGAGCAGGTCGGCACGAGCTCTCGATTTTCAATTTTTTTTTTTTTTTTTTAAATATAAAGGAGAATAAGAGAAAATGAAAACAAAACGTGGGTTGCCTCCCACGAAGCGCTCGGTTTATAGTCGTGAGCTCGACTTTCCCATTCGTTCAACGATCAACCGGGCATAGCTCGACGAGCCCCTCCTTTCTCATTTTCGGACTCGTCACCGAACAAATTTGCCCACTTACTTCTCGGAGATACCGGGGGTTTCTTCTTCCAACCATCCTCTTCCTCGAATTTTATCCCGGTTTTTGTGAACTTCCACCCCCCGGTACTCGCATCATCCTTCAAGCTCGGTGGGTTGCCTCCCGGTTTAATCTCACCATCCTTTCTCTTACCTTTCGACCTCTTCCTATTCGGTTTTGACTTCTTACCAACTCCATCATCACATTTAAACTCCAACACATCATTTTTCCCTACAAAACCATTTCCAATAGAAGATTTAGAATTAGGGTTAGAATGTACCTCATTGTCGAAGTCCTCCACGAACGAGCATTGGCCAACTTTGGTTGGTGCTTCCCGGGCATTGTTCATCGTGAAAGTAGCAATCTCTCCATGAGCCAAGAGAGTGACTCGTCCCTCTTTGACGTCAATAATGGTGTTGGTCGTCGCCATGAAGGGTCGACCAAGCAAAATCGTGTGCTCCTTCCCGGTATTCGGGACATCTCCGACGTCAAGGACTACGAAGTCGACCGGTACAACAATCGAGCCAACCTTGACCAACACATCTTAGATTATCCCTTTTGGCTCCCGCAAGGTGCGGTCCGCCAATTGGAGGCTCATCCGAGTCGGCTTGAGCCCTTGCAACCCTAATTGCTTGTAGATCGAGTAGGGCATGAGGTTTATACCGGCTCCCAAGTCTAGCATCCCGGTCGTAGTCTTTCCATTCCCGAATGTAATCTTCATGACAAAGGCTCCCGGGTCACATTCTTTCCGAGGTATGGTAGTCGAGGCTACCTCGGAAATCATCACCTTCTCATTATCCACGAACCTCCGCTTTTTCGAAGCTAAGTCTTTGAAAAATTGAACATATGCCGGCACGTTTTTAATAACGTCTAGAAGTGGGAGGTTCACGTTTACCTTCGAGAGCATGTCAAAAGATCTTGGAATTGACGCTCCTTCTTTGATCCTTCAAACGGCTCGGGAAGGGAACCGGTGGTCGGTAAGGTGCATCCGCTTTATGCAAGACCTCATGGGTTTCTTTCTTCGAACTCTCCTTCACAATTCTTTCATCAACAATGGCTTTCCCTTTCGAAGCATCAACCTTATCACCTGACTCATCATCATCCTTATCAACAACAACTTCAACCACCTCATCTTTCTCGGGCATCTCAACACGATTATCAATCATCTTACCGTTCCTCAAGACCGTGATGGCGTTCAAGTGCTCGGGTTGGCTCGGGAGCTTGTCTTTAATTTTGCTCCTTTGGATATCTCCGATGGAACTCCCGAGTTGCCCCACTTGAGTCTCGAGGCATTTAAGAGAGGCTTGAATCGATGGCACTCCCTTGATGGTGTCATGCAATGTGGAAACGGTGGAGGCCAATGATTGAAGGCACTTCTCCAAGCTTTCGATCCGAGTCTCCGAGGATTCTCCGTTAGCATTCTTCTCGGGCTCGGGTGGAGGCGGCAAAGGTTGCCTCGGAATGAAGCCTCCACGCCCTTGTGGATATCCTTGGAGCTCGGGTCTCGGTTGATAGCCTTGGAATTCGGGTCGTGGTTGGAACGGTGGTCGGTTGTTCGGTTGAGCATATTGTTGAGGTTGGGAGTAAGCTTGTTGTGGTGCCGGTTGAGGTGGCTAGGTGGCTTTCGGGTCCCTCCATGAGAAGTTAGGGTGGTTTCGCCACCCGGGATTGTACGTGTTCGAGTAAGGATCGTTTTGGACCCGGAGGGCGTACCCTTGGATAGCATTGATGTCGTAGGGGACTCCTTCAAGATTTGGATCGTAGGCCGGCACCATATAATTCGGACATTCGTGGCCTCCATGGCCGGCCTTTCCACAACAACCGCACACCTCGGTCATCACCACATGGGCCGACTTTGCATCCCTTA